CTAACTACATGCACATAATGCACACGCACAGAAACACGCTCAGAAAGAAACAGACATTGAGTCAGAGACACGCACACACAGATGACACATATACTTTCTCTATATCACGTCACACAAACAAGCAGAATCCACATGCGAGAATCGTCAATTGGTGAAGACAAATGCTGAGAGTGTCAGTCGACTCAGGTGAACGAGACTTACCCAGTGGTCGGCGTGTGGTTGTTCGCCTCCTCCTTCGTCGGTGTCGAGCCACCACTCTTCCGAACTTGTCCGTCACGTTGACGAATTCTTCTCCAGGTGTCGTGGTTTCGCCTGAAACAGAGAAGGAGAAGACTGAGTCCAATTGTCTGTCAGTGTAGTGTCACTCTCACTGCCTGTATACTTGTCACCACACGGTGGACACATCACTCAAACTCCACTATTCATCTTCACATACACTAACTACATGCACATAATGCACACGCACAGAAACACGCTCAGAAAGAAACAGACATTGAGTCAGAGACACGCACACACAGATGACACATATACTTTCTCTATATCACGTCACACAAACAAGCATAATCCACATGCGAGAATCGTCAATTGGTGAAGACAAATGCTGAGAGTGTCAGTCGACTCAGGTGAACGAGACTTACCCAGTGGTCGGCGTGTGGTTGTTCGCCTCCTCCTTCGTCGGTGTCGAGCCACCACTCTTCCGAACTTGTCCGTCACGTTGACGAATTCTTCTCCAGGTGTCGTGGTTTCGCCTGAAACAGAGAAGGAGAAGACTGAGTCCAATTGTCTGTCAGTGTAGTGTCACTCTCACTGCCTGTATACTTGTCACCACACGGTGGACACATCACTCAAACTCCACTATTCATCTTCACATACACTAACTACATGCACATAATGCACACGCACAGAAACACGCTCAGAAAGAAACAGACATTGAGTCAGAGACACGCACACACAGTGACACATATACTTTCTCTATATCACGTCACACAAACAAGCAGAATCCACATGCGAGAATCGTCAATTGGTGAAGACAAATGCTGAGAGTGTCAGTCGACTCAGGTGAACGAGACTTACCCAGTGGTCGGCGTGTGGTTGTTCGCCTCCTCCTTCGTCGGTGTCGAGCCACCACTCTTCCGAACTTGTCCGTCACGTTGACGAATTCTTCTCCAGGTGTCGTGGTTTCGCCTGAAACAGAGAAGGAGAAGACTGAGTCCAATTGTCTGTCAGTGTAGTGTCACTCTCACTGCCTGTATACTTGTCACCACACGGTGGACACATCACTCAAACTCCACTATTCATCTTCACATACACTAACTACATGCACATAATGCACACGCACAGAAACACGCTCAGAAAGAAACAGACATTGAGTCAGAGACACGCACACACAGTGACACATATACTTTCTCTATATCACGTCACACAAACAAGCATAATCCACATGCGAGAATCGTCAATTGGTGAAGACAAATGCTGAGAGTGTCAGTCGACTCAGGTGAACGAGACTTACCCAGTGGTCGGCGTGTGGTTGTTCGCCTCCTCCTTCGTCGGTGTCGAGCCACCACTCTTCCGAACTTGTCCGTCACGTTGACGAATTCTTCTCCAGGTGTCGTGGTTTCGCCTGAAACAGAGAAGGAGAAGACTGAGTCCAATTGTCTGTCAGTGTAGTGTCACTCTCACTGCCTGTATACTTGTCACCACACGGTGGACACATCACTCAAACTCCACTATTCATCTTCACATACACTAACTACATGCACATAATGCACACGCACAGAAACACGCTCAGAAAGAAACAGACATTGAGTCAGAGACACGCACACACAGTGACACATATACTTTCTCTATATCACGTCACACAAACAAGCATAATCCACATGCGAGAATCGTCAATTGGTGAAGACAAATGCTGAGAGTGTCAGTCGACTCAGGTGAACGAGACTTACCCAGTGGTCGGCGTGTGGTTGTTCGCCTCCTCCTTCGTCGGTGTCGAGCCACCACTCTTCCGAACTTGTCCGTCACGTTGACGAATTCTTCTCCAGGTGTCGTGGTTTCGCCTGAAACAGAGAAGGAGAAGACTGAGTCCAATTGTCTGTCAGTGTAGTGTCACTCTCACTGCCTGTATACTTGTCACCACACGGTGGACACATCACTCAAACTCCACTATTCATCTTCACATACACTAACTACATGCACATAATGCACACGCACAGAAACACGCTCAGAAAGAAACAGACATTGAGTCAGAGACACGCACACACAGTGACACATATACTTTCTCTATATCACGTCACACAAACAAGCAGAATCCACATGCGAGAATCGTCAATTGGTGAAGACAAATGCTGAGAGTGTCAGTCGACTCAGGTGAACGAGACTTACCCAGTGGTCGGCGTGTGGTTGTTCGCCTCCTCCTTCGTCGGTGTCGAGCCACCACTCTTCCGAACTTGTCCGTCACGTTGACGAATTCTTCTCCAGGTGTCGTGGTTTCGCCTGAAACAGAGAAGGAGAAGACTGAGTCCAATTGTCTGTCAGTGTAGTGTCACTCTCACTGCCTGTATACTTGTCACCACACGGTGGACACATCACTCAAACTCCACTATTCATCTTCACATACACTAACTACATGCACATAATGCACACGCACAGAAACACGCTCAGAAAGAAACAGACATTGAGTCAGAGACACGCACACACAGTGACACATATACTTTCTCTATATCACGTCACACAAACAAGCAGAATCCACATGCGAGAATCGTCAATTGGTGAAGACAAATGCTGAGAGTGTCAGTCGACTCAGGTGAACGAGACTTACCCAGTGGTCGGCGTGTGGTTGTTCGCCTCCTCCTTCGTCGGTGTCGAGCTACCACTCTTCCGAACTTGTCCGTCACGTTGACGAATTCTTCTCCAGGTGTCGTGGTTTCGCCTGAAACAGAGAAGGAGAAGACTGAGTCCAATTGTCTGTCAGTGTAGTGTCACTCTCACTGCCTGTATACTTGTCACCACACGGTGGACACATCACTCAAACTCCACTATTCATCTTCACATACACTAACTACATGCACATAATGCACACGCACAGAAACACGCTCAGAAAGAAACAGACATTGAGTCAGAGACACGCACACACAGTGACACATATACTTTCTCTATATCACGTCACACAAACAAGCAGAATCCACATGCGAGAATCGTCAATTGGTGAAGACAAATGCTGAGAGTGTCAGTCGACTCAGGTGAACGAGACTTACCCAGTGGTCGGCGTGTGGTTGTTCGCCTCCTCCTTCGTCGGTGTCGAGCCACCACTCTTCCGAACTTGTCCGTCACGTTGACGAATTCTTCTCCAGGTGTCGTGGTTTCGCCTGAAACAGAGAAGGAGAAGACTGAGTCCAATTGTCTGTCAGTGTAGTGTCACTCTCACTGCCTGTATACTTGTCACCACACGGTGGACACATCACTCAAACTCCACTATTCATCTTCACATACACTAACTACATGCACATAATGCACACGCACAGAAACACGCTCAGAAAGAAACAGACATTGAGTCAGAGACACGCACACACAGTGACACATATACTTTCTCTATATCACGTCACACAAACAAGCAGAATCCACATGCGAGAATCGTCAATTGGTGAAGACAAATGCTGAGAGTGTCAGTCGACTCAGGTGAACGAGACTTACCCAGTGGTCGGCGTGTGGTTGTTCGCCTCCTCCTTCGTCGGTGTCGAGCCACCACTCTTCCGAACTTGTCCGTCACGTTGACGAATTCTTCTCCAGGTGTCGTGGTTTCGCCTGAAACAGAGAAGGAGAAGACTGAGTCCAATTGTCTGTCAGTGTAGTGTCACTCTCACTGCCTGTATACTTGTCACCACACGGTGGACACATCACTCAAACTCCACTATTCATCTTCACATACACTAACTACATGCACATAATGCACACGCACAGAAACACGCTCAGAAAGAAACAGACATTGAGTCACAGACACACACACACACTGAGACATATACTTTCTCTATATCACGTCACACAAACAAGCATAATCCACATGCGAGAATCGTCAATTGGTGAAGACAAATGCTGAGAGTGTCAGTCGACTCAGGTGAACGAGACTTACCCAGTGGTCGGCGTGTGGTTGTTCGCCTCCTCCTTCGTCGGTGTCGAGCCACCACTCTTCCGAACTTGTCCGTCACGTTGACGAATTCTTCTCCAGGTGTCGTGGTTTCGCCTGAAACAGAGAAGGAGAAGACTGAGTCCAATTGTCTGTCAGTGTAGTGTCACTCTCACTGCCTGTATACTTGTCACCACACGGTGGACACATCACTCAAACTCCACTATTCATCTTCACATACACTAACTACATGCACATAATGCACACGCACAGAAACACGCTCAGAAAGAAACAGACATTGAGTCAGAGACACGCACACACAGTGACACATATACTTTCTCTATATCACGTCACACAAACAAGCAGAATCCACATGCGAGAATCGTCAATTGGTGAAGACAAATGCTGAGAGTGTCAGTCGACTCAGGTGAACGAGACTTACCCAGTGGTCGGCGTGTGGTTGTTCGCCTCCTCCTTCGTCGGTGTCGAGCCACCACTCTTCCGAACTTGTCCGTCACGTTGACGAATTCTTCTCCAGGTGTCGTGGTTTCGCCTGAAACAGAGAAGGAGAAGACTGAGTCCAATTGTCTGTCAGTGTAGTGTCACTCTCACTGCCTCCATACTTGTCACCACACGGTGGACACATCACTCAAACTCCACTATTCATCTTCACATACACTAACTACATGCACATAATGCACACGCACAGAAACACGCTCAGAAAGAAACAGACATTGAGTCAGAGACACGCACACACACACTGAGACATATACTTTCTCTATATCACGTCACACAAACAAGCAGAATCCACATGCGAGAATCGTCAATTGGTGAAGACAAATGCTGAGAGTGTCAGTCGACTCAGGTGAACGAGACTTACCCAGTGGTCGGCGTGTGGTTGTTCGCCTCCTCCTTCGTCGGTGTCGAGCCACCACTCTTCCGAACTTGTCCGTCACGTTGACGAATTCTTCTCCAGGTGTCGTGGTTTCGCCTGAAACAGAGAAGGAGAAGACTGAGTCCAATTGTCTGTCAGTGTAGTGTCACTCTCACTGCCTGTATACTTGTCACCACACGGTGGACACATCACTCAAACTCCACTATTCATCTTCACATACACTAACTACATGCACATAATGCACACGCACAGAAACACGCTCAGAAAGAAACAGACATTGAGTCAGAGACACGCACACACAGTGACACATATACTTTCTCTATATCACGTCACACAAACAAGCAGAATCCACATGCGAGAATCGTCAATTGGTGAAGACAAATGCTGAGAGTGTCAGTCGACTCAGGTGAACGAGACTTACCCAGTGGTCGGCGTGTGGTTGTTCGCCTCCTCCTTCGTCGGTGTCGAGCCACCACTCTTCCGAACTTGTCCGTCACGTTGACGAATTCTTCTCCAGGTGTCGTGGTTTCGCCTGAAACAGAGAAGGAGAAGACTGTGTCAGTCGGGCGGTCAGTGAGTCACTCAGTCAGTCAGCCAGCCAGTCACTCAGTCAGTCAGGCTTCACATCCTTCTCGCCGTCAGTCTGTCTCTATGTCTCTATGGCTGACTGTATGTCAGGCTGTCACTCTGTCACTCAGTCAATCCGTCTCAGTCGGTCTCTCACAATCTCACAACACAACTCTCCATTTCCGCTTCACACATTCAATCACTCACCCAGTCATCCACTTCCTCCCTCACTCCACATATCACTCACTCACCCACTCACTCAATCACACTCACAATCTCTCACACTGTCATCAAGCCACTCAAACACACGCACACACACACGCACACACTCAACCACACATATCACCAATCACACACTAGCCGAAAATAACACCTCGACTAGAATCTACCCACACGGAAACCATCAGAATCACAGTGATTCTCACTAGCTCGATCACTCAAATACTCACAAGGTAACACACTCCCTGAAACGCTCATTCAGACGCCTCCTCCCTCAAACGCTCACTCACGGAATCACTCCGTCAGACAATCCCATCCTCTCTATATCACAAACTCACTCACTCACTCAGTTGTTCAATCACTCAATCACACAGTCACAAACCCACTCACAATGTCCACAAACGGACAACACTCCTGCATTGCCCACAACAAATCCACACACTCTCCATCGACTCACGTCAATACGACTACTTACCCTCTGGTCTGACTGTCGTTTGTCGCCTCCTCCTTCGTCGGTATCGAGCCACCACCCTTCCGACCTTGTCCGTCACGTTGACGAATTCTTCTCCAGGTGTCGTGGTTTCACCTGAAACAGAGAAGGAGAAGACTGTGTCAGTCGGGCGGTCAGTGAGTCACTCAGTCAGTCAGCCAGCCAGTCACTCAGTCAGTCAGTCAGGCTTCACATCCTTCTCGCCGTCAGTCTGTCTCTATGTCTCTATGGCTGACTGTATGTCAGGCTGTCACTCTGTCACTCAGTCAATCCGTCTCAGTCGGTCTCTCACAATCTCACAACACAACTCTCCATTTCCGCTTCACACATTCAATCACTCACCCAGTCATCCACTTCCTCCCTCACTCCACATATCACTCACTCACTCACTTACTCAATCACACTCACAATCTCTCACACTGTCATCAAGCCACTCAAACACACGCACACACACACGCACACACTCAACCACACACATCACCAATCACACACTAGCCGCAAATAACACCTCGACTAGAATCTACCCACACGGAAACCATCACACTCACACTGACTCTCACTAGCTCAATCACTCAATCACTCACAACCCAACACACTCCCTGAAACGCTCACTCAGACACTGCCTCCCTCAAACATTCACTCACGGAATCACTCCCTCAGTAATCCCAACCTCTCTTAATCACATACACACTCACTAACTCACTCACTCAGTCACGCAATCACTCAGTCACACACTCACACACCTACTCACAATGTCCACAAACAGACAACACTCCTGCATTGCCCACAACAAATCCACACACTCTCCATCGACTCACGTCAATACGACTACTTACCCTCTGGTCTGACTGTCGTTTGTCGCCTCCTCCTTCGTCGGTATCGAGCCACCACCCTTCCGACCTTGTCCGTCACGTTGACGAATTCTTCTCCAGGTGTCGTGGTTTCGCCTGAAACAGAGAAGGAGAAGACTGTGTCAGTCGGGCGGTCAGTGAGTCACTCAGTCAGTCAGCCAGCCAGTCACTCAGTCAGTCAGTCAGGCTTCACATCCTTCTCGCCGTCAGTCTGTCTCTATGTCTCTATGGCTGACTGTATGTCAGGCTGTCACTCTGTCACTCAGTGTAAGGTGAATTCCATTCCCATCCTTAAATCAAGTCAACCTGTCCCGGATCAGCCTAGCATTGTTGCAACACAATTATCCATGCCCAACGTGTCTATTCCACCTTGTTTAATTAACTGTGTATGTGTGTTTTTACTTCGATCCTTTTAGTCAGACAGTTGAACTCATGACCCAATCAGAGTATTTTTGTGAACTGTTATTTTGCTGCCCCATGTCTTACTTTGTATTATTCTGTTGAGTTTATCTTATTTATTGATTGGTTAAGTAGCCAATTAAATTCTATCTTTGTGCCTATGCTTTGTCTATCTTTTACTTGGGTTCATTCTTCTACTGACTGCTTACTTGAACGGTCGTGTCTGATCCGGCTAGTTCGTAATTTTGGCTTTAACGTTATTCCGCTCTGATAGCGGTTCCTTGCTTTCTGTTAAGCATTGTGTATTGTGCACTTGAAACCGTTAAGGTTTGTTGTATATATATTAATTGATTTGTTTATTAATAGTACCGTAGAAACAGTGACCGGCTTCTTGTTTGTTCTGGACCGGGATAGCCTATATCTACGCGTGACTTAATTTCAAGCGATATTGCGCTTACAGTACTTAACGTATGGAGTTAAAGTTTGCCGGATCAGCCCTTGACGGAAGAGACCGTACTGAACTGGTCAGTACTGAACTCCTTGACGGAATAGACCGTACTGAACTGGTCAGTACTGAACGTTCATCCAGAAGAAACTGGTGAATTGGCAGCACGCAACGTTGTCGAGAATACATTTTTTCTTTGGAACAATGCAAACCAGATCAGGGAAGCAAATTTTGGAGCAGCAGTCGGAGAGTCGGCAAGTCCCCGTTTGCATAAATGATCATGTTGATAACCTTTCGTGCCCCGGCTCTCATGTCAGTAGTTCGAAACCATCATTATCGCGAGTAACTAGTGCTAAGTCGTCGCTACTAATGGCGCAGCTAAAGGAGAAACAACTTCGACAGGAGTTAGAGTTAGAGTTAAAGGAAAAATTGCTAAAGGCTAGACATGATGTCGAAATGGCCGAGCTGCTTGTGAAGTTAGCCGTGGACGACAAACGGAACATTGGAAATACTAAAAGAGACACTGTCAACTACGCTCGAATCAGCGAAGAGAGTATCAAAGACGACATCAGAAAGCTAGATGAAGCTGAGTTTAGGGATACTGAAGAAAACGAACACTCATTTTCTATCGAAGATCCTAAGGCAATCGAGTTGGTTACTCAAAGCAGCGTCTTAGAAAAGGGGCATTACATCATTTCCTTGCCATGGAAAGATCCAGCAAAGGTAACGGACAATAATTATGTGGTTGCCATAAATCGGCTACTCAGTCTGAAATGGAGGTTATCGCGTGACAAGAACCTTTCAGCACGATATGTGGATGGTATAAATACGATGTTAAAAAATGGTTATGCCCTTCCGGTACCCCTAGAGCAGCTAGCAGCCAACTATCGCCCGAGGTGGTATCTTCCACATCATCCCGTAAAGAAACCGAAAAAGCCAGATAAACTGAGAATAGTTCTAGATTGCGCCGCAACCTTTAGAGGCTATTCTTTGAACGATAAGCTATATGAAGGACCTGATACGATTACCGAGCTTGTTGGTGTTATGTTGCGCTTTCGAGAAAAGCCTATTGCTGTAGTCGCGGACATAGCTGATATGTTTATGCAAGTGAAAGTGCCACTAGACGATCGACGAGCATTACTATTTCTGTGGTGGAAAAATGGTTTTCTAGACGAAGAGCCGCAGGAGTTTCAGATAACAGCGCATCCGTTCGGGGCAAATTCATCACCCTTTTGTGTGAACTTAGCGTTGAGAAAGGCAGTAGAGGGCTTTGGTTGCTTATATGCGGAAACAGTAAGAGAGCTGGGCACGAGGGTTATACGGTGTAACATGATTCATAAAATTCTAGTCGGATTTTGGGGGCCGGTGTAAGATGAATTCCATTCCCATCCTTAAATCAAGTCAACCTGTCCCGGATCAGCCTAGCATTGTTGCAACACAATTATCCATGCCCAACGTGTCTATTCCACCTTGTTTAATTAACTGTGTATGTGTGTTTTTACTTCGATCCTTTTAGTCAGACAGTTGAACTCATGACCCAATCAGAGTATTTTTGTGAACTGTTATTTTGCTGCCCCATGTCTTACTTTGTATTATTCTGTTGAGTTTATCTTATTTATTGATTGGTTAAGTAGCCAATTAAATTCTATCTTTGTGCCTATGCTTTGTCTATCTTTTACTTGGGTTCATTCTTCTACTGACTGCTTACTTGAACGGTCGTGTCTGATCCGGCTAGTTCGTAATTTTGGCTTTAACGTTATTCCGCCCTGATAGCGGTTCCTTGCTTTCTGTTAAGCATTGTGTATTGTACACTTGAAACCGTTAAGGTTTATTGTATATATATTAATTGATTTGTTTATTAATAGTACCGTAGAAACAGTGACCGGCTTCTTGTTTGTTCTGGACCGGGATAGCCTATATTTACGCGTGACTTAATTTCAAGCGATATTGCGCTTACACTCAGTCAATCCGTCTCAGTCGGTCTCTCACCATCTCACAACACAACTCTCCATTTCCGCTTCACACATTCAATCACTCACCCAGTCATCCACTTCCTCCCTCACTCCACATATCACTCACTCACCCACTCACTCAATCACACTCACAATCTCTCACACTGTCATCAAGCCACTCAAACACACGCACACACACACGCACACACTCAACCACACATATCACCAATCACACACTAGCCGAAAATAACACCTCGACTAGAATCTACCCACACGGAAACCATCACACTCACACTGACTCTCACTAGCTCAATCACTCAATCACTCACAACCCAAAACACTCCCTGAAACGCTCACTCAGACACCGCCTCCCTCAAACATTCACTCACGGAATCACTCCCTCAGTAATCCCAACCTCTCTTAATCACATACACACTCACTAACTCACTCACTCAGTCACGCAATCACTCAGTCACACACTCACACACCCACTCACAATGTCCACAAACGGACAACACTCCTGCATTGCCCACAACAAATCCACACACTCTCCATCGACTCA